GCCCATTGAGAAGGGCAAGGGGAATTCCTAAGACCTACCCTGGTAGGTGAGCAGAACGCGATTTCTTCCTGTCCTTTGTTCATGGAACACATGACCCTTCCAGAGAAGGCCATTCTTCTCTTTCTTATCCATGGCTTGCCTCTTGCTTCCGCTTAAATATTTATTGAGTTCTAAATATTATATATTTCCTGTTTTCTCTTTCTTCTGTTCCTCCCTCAGCCCAGCCAGCTTACAGATTATAAATTTTAATAAGTTTGCTTCAAATGAAAAAGGTGTCAGATCTGTTCCATGTCTTCTCAGGGTGATGCAGGGAAGTGGCTGGGAGAATGACAAATCTCAGTCTGCAACAAACACAGTTTACCCCAAATAAACTTCAAGATGGTCCGGGGAGAAACGAAGCCCTGAGCCGATTATCACAAGTCATACATAAATATGGGATTTTAAGCAAAAAAACAAAAAACAAAAAACAACCCATCTCCCTCCCAATTTTATTATCTGGGAAATAGATAAAATACATCTTATGGTAACTCCATAGAGAAGATATTTCAAGAGAGGTCTCATTTCTGGGCTGAGGATGTAGCTCAGTTGGAAGAATGCTTGCCTAGAATGCACAGAGCCCTGGGTTTGCTCCTCAGCACCACACACACGGGGCATGGCAGTACCTACCTGTGATTCTAGCACTTGGGAGATAGAGACAACAGATCAGCAGTTCAAGTTCATCCTCAGCTAGGGAGTTTGAGGTCAGCCTAGGATAAATAAGGTCAGTCTGGGTTAAATGAGATCTTGTCTAAAGAGGGCCAGGGCAGGAGGAAGGGGGACTCATGTCTCAAGCAGACATGTGTATGCATACCCCATCCACCACTTAGTGCCAGTGGAGAAATAAGGAGTGCTGGCATATTTAGAAACAAGTCAATTTCTAGTCCCTGTTTGCTACTCTAACCATGTGAGAACCTTGGAGAAATCACTCTATTGAGACACCTGGGCTCCCTTATCTGTAGAGGGGCGTGAACCCACTAAATGATCGTGTTTTTCTTGGGTACTCAAGGCTGGAATTCTGTCATGAGCCACCCACTGTAGGGGGGGTCCCGTTCCAGCTTGCCTCTGCTCCACTGTACAGGCCTGTCCCAGTCACATGCCATCTGGTTCTTGTTACCATTGTTGGACCAGCTGGGCCGTATGGCAGGAGCCAGTTTTTCTCAAAGCCATTTTTCTTTGTCTTGGGGACAGCCGGAAACAGGAGAATGGGAGAAATTGACGGTGCAATTTTATCAGGAACGTGGCCATTTTGCAGATACTCAAGTTGGAAGCCGGAGCACCATCGGGGCTCTCCTTACGTCTCCTTTGCTTTGCCGACCTTCCTCACGTCTCAGTGGTTACCAAGTGCTGTCTGTCTCCAGAATCTCTTGGTTCAGTTGCTTCTTCACTTTCCCCACAGTTTGATGCTGTCCCAAATCGTCTCCAAGTACAACCTCTCCTTACCGAGCTTCCTGCCACACCCGCCTCTTCAGCCGACCCTTCCTCTACCCTGACATTTTGGTCAGCCCACTGCTATCCAGAAGACAAAACTCAAACGTTAGTAAGACAGTAAACTTCACCTAAACTCTTCCAGCTGAACTGCTCCGTTCACTCTTCCCCAACCCATAGCATAGCGTTCTGCTTCCATGTCTTTCCCTCTGCCACACTCCATGCCTAGGCACGTGACCTCATCTCCGTCACCCCAGACTGGCCTTGAACTTGCTTTGTTCCAGAGGATGACCTTGAACTTTTAATCCTCCTGCCTCTGTTTATCCACTGCTGGAATTATAGGCGTGCACCACCATGCCTGGCTTATGCGGTACTGAGAATGGACCCCAGGACTTCATGTACGTTAGGCAGGCACTGTACTAACTAACTAACTGAGCTACATCCAGACCTCGTATTTCTTTATGCATCCACGACTCCTGTCACCCGAACTAGGCGAGAAACTCTATAGAAGCTCTCAATTAAGCTGGGCCATCACTTCTATTTACTTCAATGATCAGGATGACACTAATATAAAAAGTATCTTGCCGGCTTAGCCCACTTACTCCAGTCTTGGCTGTCAGTTCTAACGCTGTCCCAGGGATCCATTTTCTAGCTTGACTGAAATAACGTGGTGATTTTGAGTGTAGCTAGGGCCTATGATAATACATTTTTCTTTGATCTTCTTTTTTCCCTGTCTTAGGATCCACACAGCTTATTACAAGCTAGACAGATTCGGAGCAAGCCCAGCTGTCATGCGGAGTATCATCACTGAGTTGTGAGTTCAGAATAGGGCCAGAAAGTTGGGACCTGGCAGCCTGGTGGCAAGCTCATCCGCCCCACACCAGTTCCCACACTCACTTCAACGCCTGTTTCCCGAAAGCCCCTACTCTTCCCGAAGCAGCTGCAGTTGCAGGCTCCCAGTTTCACGTCTTTCACTCTAGGCTCTGTGTCAGATGGAGGCTGGAGTCCTGGAATGGACATCCCTGAGAAGGCTCCCTCCTCCTGTGAGGACTAAAACATGACGGTGACCTCCTCCGGGCAGCACACTGTGTGTTCACCGGAATGTATTGTCAATGGCCGAGTTCTCTTGTTTTCCCTTCTGGGGCTCCAGCCAGATGTTGTAGAGCACATCAGGATAATAGATGCCCTGGAAGACTGTGGTGCAAGCTGGAATGGAGTGAGGTTAGGACTGGAATTCCTTCTATTCTTGTGGGAAGCTCTGGAGAGCTATGAGGTTGTTTGCCACTTCCTCAGCGCTAAACGCGATCTTCACCGCTTCCTCTTTAGTTCTCTGAACAAACACTGGAAGCATGCACCAACGCAAGCCCTGCTACCCTGCAAGCCACACAGCGGGAGCAGTGCTTTCCAAAACTGCCTCCCTCTGATGATGGCTCAGCGGTTAAAAGCACCTTCTGCTCTTTGGGAGGACCCAGGTTCCGAGTGTTGGGTCCCTAGAGGACAGGCCTTCGCACCCCCACCTGATCTGTTTTGCTGCGGCACCCAGCATCCATCTGACAGCTCACAGCCATCTGTGACTCCAACCTCAGGGAAATCTCTGACACTCTTATAGAAATTAGTGAGAAAACAAGGACTACTCAGAGAGTCGGAAAACTCAGGTTTAAAATGACGATAGACCCAGGCTGAGCAAGCACTTCAGAGAGACAGCCTAAGCCACAGTATTTTACAGTGGCTATAGGCAGAATAGCAGTGGAAGTCCGGTCTTCTGTCACTGGTAGATTTAGTTGTCCTAATTTTAGACAAGCATTTTATTTACATTTATTTATCTTACTTTATGTCTGTGAGTGTTTTGGATGCACGTATAGTATATATGCACACATTTTCCTGGTGGCCATGGAACTCAGAAGAGGGCATCAGCTCCCCAAAACTGGAGTCAAGGATGATTGTGAGCTACCATGTGGGTGCTGGAACCAGATCCAGGTCCTCTGCAAAAGCAACAAGGGCTTTTTTTTTTTTTTTTTTTTTGACAGCGTTTCCCTGTGTAGGTCCCCTAGCTGTTCTAGAACTAGCTCTCGTAGACCAGGCTGGCCTCGAACTCACAGAGATACGCCTGCCTCTGCCTCCCAAGTGCTAGGATTAAAGGCCCGGCAGCAATAAGCGCTCCTAACTGCTGAGCCATCTCTCCAGCCCCTGCAGCAAGCAGGTTTGACAGATGTGAAACCGAAACAGTGATAGTGGCTTTCTGACAAGTGTCTGGGATTTCCATTTTTAATCTTACACGTGTGTGTCTGCGTGGGGGTATGTGCGTGTGCGTGCAGGCGCCAGGAGAGGACAGAAGCATTGGAGGTATAGGCGATATGAGCCACCTGATACAGGTGCAGGGAACCGAACTCGGGTCTCCTGGAAGAACACTGACCCGTCTCCTGGGCCCCAGCGTCTGTCTTCTTAAAATGGAAGGAAGAGGGTGCCAGCCGAGGGTGCTAGCTGAGGGGGCTAGCTGAGGCAACCAGGAGAATAAGGGTATATGTTGTTTTTACATTTAACCGTTCTAGTCTCCCTTTTCCACATACCTCAAACTAAATAGGACAATGACAGGGTTCCCTTAGAGAAGGCTGAGATACTGAACTTCCTCAGAATCTCCTCATTTTACACACACACACACACACACACACACACACAGAGAGAGAGAGAGAGAGAGAGAGAGAGAGAGAGAGAGAGAGAGAG